ATATATAAATATATATACATATACGTGTGTCTGTGTCTGTGTTTGTTTTTCGAGAATTTTTTGGTGTTGATTTTCAGAATATATATATATAGATATATATATGCGTGTGTGTGTGTGCGCGCGTCTGCGTCTGCGTCTGCGTGTAGGTGTGAGTGGGTGTGAGTGGGTGTGGATATGGGTGTGGCCGTGTGTGTGTGTGTGTGTGTATAAGTAAAATTTTACTTGTTATTTTCTTTTTAGACATGTATGGACTATATAAAAAAATCCTGTTACTATTCATCGTGGACGATAACGTACCTTCATTCACAACTGCGCACTCGCGTCTCTGCATCATCTACTGAGCTGATCGCAATTGTGATATGTCTTTGGCAAAATATTAATTAAAAAATTCTATTTTTAGATCATCAGCATTCTCCGGAAGATCAGTCTGAGTAAGGACACGGCTACGGAAACCGATACACCTGACAGCCTCAGCAATCCAACCAACCACAACGCGAGCCGAAATGAAGCACGTGCGAACACTTTACGTGACACGTCCGAACACAGTAACACCCCTACCACACCCAACAGTACAACCGCTTACGGATATCAGGACAGGGTGTGTGGTGGTGCAGATAGTACGGGCATACACCAAGGCCAAGTCGTGGGCGAAGTATCAGAAGCGACTGAGGGGCATATGGGAGCGGTGGATCCGGATATACAAGAACTTGGCCGAGTTGTGAGGCTGCCTGCGTGTGTGCGCATACACTTCCACATGTTCCTGGGGCGCATGTTGCTGCTGACGGCAGCGCCGCCGGTGGTTGTACTGGACGTGAGAGAGTTTAGAGAGATGCTGTGCTCGTTGTGTGCGTGCGATAAGCGCTGTATGTCACGGGCTGATGTACAGACACACACACATACAAACACACAAACACACACACACACACATACACATACACACCCGCGCACGCGTACACACCATGTGGGTGCGTTACAGACGTACGGCGACAATGAAGACGAGAACCCTGTGGATATCAGCGCAGGCGATAACTCAGGTAAGAACTCTGTCGCTCTGTCCAACGGCCTGTCGCCAGATACCGAACTTCTTCCTGCACCCACCGCGACCACGGGGCAGCCAGGTGGACCCGGAGACTGTGAGCCCTACACAGACGCAGAGAGTGTAGCAGCCACACTAGACGAGCGCCAAGATATCGTCATGCAGCTGTATGCCATGGGTTGGTGTCATAGTGCGCGAGTGTCTGACACTCAGCTGCTGCAATGGCTGGTGGGGGGGGGGCTGTGGCAGGTGGCAGAGGTGGTGTATATACAGATGGGAGATTTGGATAAGGTATGGGGGGGGTCAAGTGTGTGGGTGTGGGGGTGGGGGTGTGTGTGTGTGTTGATATACTTCTCCCTAGCGTCCTATTGCTAGAAAACTATTCAGTGACATATTATTTTATATCACTATTAAATGTAGTAAACAACAAAGGTAATCAACATTGCTTGCAATTAATACTAGCTAGGTTACATTGTACTATCCTAGACAGCACGCGTCGTTGTATTATCTGTTCAATGAGTCTGTAAGGGACGTGTACGTTGGTACGTGTGGTTGTGCTGCGAACAGATCAGCGCGCATCCAGCGGTGTAGTATCACGCACGTTATGACAATGAAACAAATGGAGGTTTGTGACTACCGATGTGCATATTCCTGTTTTAAGTATCAACCCGGATTTCATGTTAGTGACTTGCATGTAATTGTGCACTAGATCGTTATATATGTACACGTACAACTCATAGTATATACGAGTTAGACACTCTTACACATATAACTCATAGTATGTGCGCATAAGACACTCTTACACATATAACTCATAGTATGCACGCATAAGACACTCTTACACATATAACTCATAGTATGCACGCACAAGACACTCTTACACATATAACTCATAGTGCACACATAAGACACTCTTACACATATAACTCATAGTATGCACGCATAAGACACTCTTACATATATAACTCATAGTATGCACGCATAAGACACTCT